GGCAAACCTTCACAGGCCCCACTCCTGCTAAACAGGTGAAAATAGATTTAAGGGCGACAGGACTTAGTGCTGCTGAATCTATGATTTTATTTATTTGCATCTATTTGAAAGAGTGAGTGTAGACACAAAAAAATAATTTTATTTCATATGCTGGAATATGCAGAAAATAGGTTTAAATGTTAAATAAATTTCTTCAAGTCAAAGACTGTTGCATATAATTTAATTCTTGCTTGATTCAATGTGCATAAAGTTAAAAGATTAAAACTAATAAAACGAGTTTTATAAAGAGATTTTTCCATTTGATTCAATTTTATATGATGGATTATGCAGAAAAAATAGAATTGGGCTGAAAGGTCTATTGTTTTATAACATATAAAAGGTTGTGCATCGCTTTTTTTAAAAGTGATAAAGTAACTAATTACTTTTGAAAATAAGTCATCAGTAGTTAGTAACTAATTACTATTTTCATGTAACTTGATCAACACTGCTCCTCACGCCATAAAATCAAAACATCTCTGGCTAAAACACCAAACTCAAACGAACTTAAGAATTCATTTTTTCTGTTTCTCTTTGTCATGTTTCTGATAAATAATGCATCGATTCTTCAGTCTTCAGAGTTACTGGTTAGTATTTAAAAAAAGTAGAGCATAACACTAACACTGGGACCTTAAAATTACCTCAACTGCCTGATTTCTGATTAAGAAATGATTCAGAGTACTCACAGGGCACAGGACTTTTTTCACTTCACATTTTTTGATGAATTTCTTTCATCTACTTTCACTACTGTATTTTAAATAAATAGTGATATTATATCACAAAAGGCAGATCTGCCATTAGTGAAGACAACTGACACATGTGTCAGATTTTCACAGCAGATTGCAAAGGAACAGAAGAACCATTTACACTTTGGTGCTTGGCATCTTTCACAAACTGAAACCTGACAGCAATCTGGAACTAGATCCATCCTCTAACGTGCCCACCAGTAGCACTTCACCCTGGACTATACATAGAATACAATTGAATTTGTTACCTAATCAGAGTGAGTATAATAGTCATCCTCTTACTGAAGTTTAAGGTGACCTAAAGCTTTACATTCATCACTTAAGTCAGGGGTTAGGACGTTGATAAATTGGTTCATGGGGATTTATGTAATTGCATTTAAAAACAAACAAAAAAAACCAAAACACAGCTGCCAGACATAATTTAGGCAGATCAAAGCGTATCCATCATCAAAGAAATCCTCTGGCTTTATTCTGCCAAAAATGGGTGGATTTCAGGAAGCTAGAGCATGTCAGCCATGATGAATCTCTATAAGCAACACAAGCAGAGTTAGCTAAAATTATAATGGTAAATGTTGACTTTAGTATTTATACTTAGAAGTCCACGTCTTGTCTTTGAGGCAGGAATTCTCAGAAGTCACTCCCCCCAGCCTCCGCTAAAAGGCTAAAAGTTACATTTTAGTGCAACACGTCAGCGAGCCGTTTGCTTTCCCCAAGAAGCACGGCTTTAAAACAATTACTCCTTCATCTTGACATTCCCCCTCCGTATAACTTCAGTTCTTTTCAGCCAAGCAATATGAAACACCTCTGATACTGACCTGGCAAAATGGGCCGCAGTCCAAAAGGGCCTCGGGTGGGGGAGATGCCTCTGACGATGCAGTCGAATAGAAAGCTGATCTGCTCGCTCTCAGCAGATGCGAGCAGAAAAACACCAGCCCCTGAAAATAGACTTCATTAGTTTTAAGCTAATTTATGAAAGTGTATTTTACAGTTAATAATCAACAAGAAAGATAGTGCAACATTGGTGATGCCAGTATAATAAAATTAAAAATTAAAAAAAGAACAGGCTGTTTCTTGGTATAAATCAGTAAAACGAGACAAACTTTTCAATTTTACAAAAAACATTTCTACTTTTCAACTACCATCAAAATGTCCTAAACTGAGATATATTTGGTTACTATTTAAAATTAAAAACTATTTGTCTTTTACTTTTAAACCAGGACAGTCATTCTAACAGCTTCATAACGGTTACTTAGGTAAGTGCTCTGAGGTAAGTGCTAACATCAACACGCTAACATGCGCTCCATAAGCTGAGGTTTTTGACCCTTTCTGTTTTCGTAGCTTACTATATGAGCAAATTAATATTGCAGCAACACAATTTTCACCCGGGACCAGTGAGAACAGCTTTAATTCTGATGTTAAAAAAAAAAAAAAAAATGGCGGCCGTAATCTTTACGTAAGTGGGACATAAAGTTTTTACTCCAAGCCACAACTTTCCTCGATGGTTCTACAAGGAAAGTCAACAGCTCGCCAAAATCATGGACCACTCGGATATTTTACAAAACACAGCTGCTAATAATAACAATTAATCAAAGAGCATCTGTTAGTTATTGTTTTTTTATGACATCAAAAAAAAATTTTCATATCAATATAAAAATAATTTCCTGAATAAAATACCACCTAAAAGTAGAATTTGTTACAATAGATAGATGTAGATGTAGACAGATATAGAGATAGATATATATAGAGATGGATATAGATAGATACAGACAGATTATTTATAGTGTGTAGTATATGTAAACGAGCACTACATGAACCTTTTCAGAAAGAAACTGAGGCATGATGCGTTTCACAAAGCTGCAGTTATAGAGTATTACATAATAAAAAAGTTCCTTCTTTATGGTTCCCAGTTTGTCTATTTCAACAATTTAGAGTGTAATAAAGGAGGATTTAATATAATGGAGAGGTCAAAGAGGTCACGTTCTCCTGAGGTCTCTTGACCTCCCTCTGACAGCACAACGGCCTGCGCTTTACAAAGTGTTGTTGTGTCATTCTGCGGCTGAAGCCACCCATGTCAAAGCTGCCCTTACACTGCTGTGGCTGTGAGCAGGGGTCAAAGGTCAGCACCAAAGTCTGCTCAAGAGTTTTAACCTGTTCAAACTAAAGATTTATTGTCTCCTTTGTGCTTTACGATGGAGCTGATTAAGTGGTTTCTCACCTCATACACGTTCATCTTGCAACGTTACAAATTTATATACACGTTGGTTTTGATAGGTGACTGCATTTTAGTTACACTACTAAATGCACGATTACCAAAAAAATAAAAAATAAAAAATCCAAAAACAAACATTCAAAACAAAACAAAGAACAGGTGGCAAAGCTTTTTAGTTCACATTAATCTCTGCAGGAATGAAAACAACTCAAATGGACCCTTCTGGTCTCTGCTCCAAGAGGTGATAAAAACACAGCATCCATACAAAGTAACACAGCTTATAAAATCCAACTTTGTTAAGTGGGAAGTGTAAATGAGCAAGCGCCGAGAGCCAAGGTTGGCATTTTTATTTCGAAAGCAGCAGAGTCATCCAAACGGCTCAAGATGAAAGTCTAGCAAACTTTAATTACTTTAAAGTGAAATTCAGATTTCCTTCACTACCATGTTTGCAACCTTCAGAAATGCATGTAAACATTATCCAGTTTAACTATTCCAGGACGATAAAATTCAGGAACAAATAAAGAAAGTAAATAAAGTAACAAAACTATTAAAGCACTAATTACTGAGAGGTCATTTTGACTGCGTTTAGAGAAAATCGTTTTTCTGAACACTTTGGTACAGCAAAGTGCGCTAAAGTGTACAGTCACTTTAGCGCTAAGCATTTCACACGCACACTTACACTTTACTTAAATGACCATTCGCCCGTGGCGTGGACAAAAGGCAGGACAAATACAGCTTGCAGTTCTACAGCTGCTCTAACCAAAAGTGAGACACCCAGCACAGCTAAATCACTTCTCGCCGTGCTGTGGATAAACTGTGCCGAGGGATTACATGTCACAGGAATGCTCGGCCTTCGCCGCACACAAACACTGAGATGCAGCCTTACTTTTTCCCCTTTTCTGTATAAAAGTAAAGCAGCGTTTGACCTTCTTTAAGATAAGCCAGTAGACTACTGAAGGCTTATTGGCTCTTAAATGTCAAAAAAAAAAAAAAAAAGTCATGTTTCCAGGAGGGTCATCATGTATCTTTAATGCTCCAATGTCTGTCTGTCCCCTCCAGGTGTTCACATACGGTCCTCTTCACTTTAATAGTTTCACATCTGTTGAATTTTTCAAACGTTATCTTATCACAGGGACGCACGCGGCCCGACGTGTTCAAACAGACCTTAAGGAAAACTCCAGAGTGATGCATGTTGCTGAGTTTTGGGCACAGCAGGGGTGATTATGCACAGACTGAATCATTTCCTTTCTTGTTGTTCTGAACAGATGTTTTTCTAATGCTTCATCTGCCGAGTCAATAAAACGCAACGAACAAACAAGAACGACTGAAACATAATTTGCTGCCTGTCATGCTGTGTGCTCTCCATTACACTTCTAAGCAATTCAAAGCAGCCACAGCAAGCCCACTCTTTGAATTTTGACTGATATTACACGTGATCAGAAGTGTGTGGACAGGAAAAAAGGCACAGAGCAAAAATCAAAGCTTAGAAATCAGACTGATGAAGCAGTAAAGGCCACCGGAACACTTTAGAAAGAGCGTCATGACCTGTTTTTTTTTTTTTTTTAAATGAGTCGAGTTGAAGCTTTTGAATGTGAGTCATTCAGAGAGTACTTTGAGTTACCTGGGGTCTTTGGTACTACACGTCTGTGGAAGCACGAGCAATCAAAAGCAGGATTTCAACAATCTTGCATCTCAAAGGAAAAAGCAAGTACATGAAGAACATCTGAACAAAGTACAAAATATTACACATGAGTCACAGCGTCTCCATTCTTGTGATCACTGCTTTGTAATCATACGCTGTAGTATTCAGAGCCTGACCTATACGTAGGCTATACAATATTATTAGCCGATGTGGCCTTATTGGAGTGTATGCCACTGGATATGAATTTTAGACTACATGGAAAAACTTACAACCTCTGGCAAAGAACATGAAGTCGTCACACTTGAAAGATGTTCACTGAACTCTTTTACTTTGCAGCAATAAACAAACCACAGATGTGATAAAGTGTTGTTTTTTGTTCCTTTTGTTGTTTACTATCTGAACAACTCTGACTTCATGAAACAAACTTCAAACTAATTAAAGAATTTTGTGTAATGGCACATTTTTTTCCCAGACATTGTAAATTTTCTGTTTGGGTTGAGACTATGTGCTGACTGTGTCAATGAGTCTGTCTGCATTTCCTTTCTTCTGTGACAACAAGACGCATCGTCATCATCGTGATGTCGAAAACTAATCCTAATCATAACCAAACCCCCGCACTCAGTGCAATAAGAAAAGCATAAAGCAGTCTACACCTGTGCATTTACTGTTGAGGTAAAGACTTTCATCTCTCCTGCTCCGTTTTTGCTTGATTTCTCAAGGCCTTCATCTTTTTTATGGCACCAAATAAAAAGTCCCAGCATCATCCCCTTTGGCAAATGCAGATTCATCACTGAACGTGACTCTTAGCAAATCATCCACAGCGCACAATTGTGTTCGCCCGCTCTAACCTTGTTTTCTTCCCATTAGGCGTTAATGCTGGCTTTCCTTTGGTGATCCCATTTTTTACACTTTTATCACAAAACCACTGATTCTTCTTTCTGCCCATTTATGGAGAGTTTTGAGCATTTTCAATTTTCTTCTGACTCTTTGACATCTTCTATCTACCCTTAAGTTTTCCTTTTTTACTCTTAACACGTTGCACTTTTCTTAGACACAGCTGACTGGGGAAAAACAAGGAGTTGTATAATCCTTTTGAATGACAGCTCTCTTCTTGGAGAGCTGCTTCCTCTTAATCAGGTGTAACAGCTTGCTGAGGTCTGCAAACGCTCTTTTAACTGCTGACTATTTTTAATATTAAAAAGTGTCTGTTTTACACATCCAAATCACAAAGTGATTCCATATTTTCCCTCCTCTGTGCTTAATCTGGGAAAAACAGATCAATAATTAAATTAACTTGTTTGGGGCATGTTTCATGAAGCCAGAATGTTCGGCTTTTAAACAAACGTGCATTTGCGTCACATCTGTGGTGGTTTGTTTATTTGGTTCAAAGTCAAAGAGTTGAATGAACATCCTTCAAGTGGGGTGATTACATAATGCTTCAAAGAAGGGGGTCATTTAAAAAAAGAAGAACCACAAGGCCAAAATACATGTATGACACCACATCTCTAAGGTGACATGTTGAAGTTTTTGAATATGTGCTCTTCTAGCATGCGACTAAAACATCCATCCATCCATCCATCCATTCTCTTCCACTTATCCTTTTCAGGGTTGTGGGGGCCTATCCTTGTTGTCTTAGGGCCTTAGGCAGGGTACACCCTGGACAGGTCGCCAGTCTGTCGCAGGGCTTGACTAAGACATAATAAAGTCAAACCTAATTTCACTCAATAAAACTGCAATTTTAAGAACAAAACCCTTTTAACTTTAAACCTACAGACTAAATGGACAGACTCAAAGGTAAGGGGCTGCCTGTGTACCATATGTACCATACAGACCATAATGAGAACAACAGACAACTTATATATAGTTTGACCAGCAGAGCAACTCCAACTCAGTTTCTTACCATTTTCACAGCTGAGCAGACAGCAGTGTGGATTCAAGTGTTGTCTTTGTGGTAAGCTGATACCTAGCATGTCAGACACATTGCTGTGACATCGTTACTCCACATGCTTTTTACTGTGTAGTGTTAAAATGGGTTATGTGGCAAAAAAAACTAAACAAAAGGTTGTGGGGTTTGGAAACAATCTAAATCCAATTTCCTCTCAGATTTAACCAAACAAGTGTGATCAGATGATTGTGTACGTGTCTTGTTACGTCACTATAAAGCCAGACGCTTCGACAAAACTTAAAATATCTGCATCACATTGTTGCTCTGATTATACTCTGGAAATTTTGATCAGAAGTAACGATTCACATCTGCTCATCTGCTGCTTTAATGCTCCTATGAGCACAGTTTGGAAAAGCAAAGTGTGGACAGCTCTGTGATTTACTTAATGACACAACTGTGTGATTCATAGCTTTCGAAGTCCTGCAGGGTGAAGCACCGTTCCAAGAAACTGGATACTCCATACAAATGCAGCACTAGCCTTTCAATATATCATCTGTTTTAATCCATGAACATTCAAAGCACCCTGCAAAAATAAATAAAAAATAACAAACTGACAGTTTTGAGCAGTTGAGACCCACACAGACGATCTGCTGGAGCACTTTAACTAGTAAAAAACAGAAAAGATCTGCCACTGAAACATTTTAGCAATGGTTTTACACACATCCCTTCTACTTCCGTCAAGATTAAAGTGCATAACAAGAACGCCAGTGCTAAATGTGCTAAATATATAACGTTCTGTGTAATGCTGAGCCAAACTGGCCAGTAACGCTCCCATTGGGGAGGAAAGGGGGAATGAATTTGTTAAAGCAATAGTGGCTGCTTTTTAGCTATCTAATAGCTAATATTGATTCATCAGTAATGACCAGACAACAATATTTCTGGTAGGTTATATGGGCAAATCAAAACATATTTCCAGTGTCAGTTTAGAGCCACTGAGCTGAGATGTTAAATTCATTTCACATCATGTGCAACATACAGCCCACTTTGATCTTAATTTGGCCAAAATAGAAAAACTCTCTTTTGTGTCAGTGTAAAGACCCTTAACTACAAATCTATCACAACTAATCCTCAAAATAGAAGTGTAGTTTTAACAGTAGGACTCGATAATGACAAGCTGCTAATAAGATAATGAAAAGGAAGACATCTGCCAGAATGAATAAATAAATGTGTAAAATTATAGAAAAGGTTCTGGTAGCTCATCGCTCAGACTCTCCTGTAATTACAAAACTGAATTATTTCATTAATTCACAGAAAATTTTCATTTCTATTTTTTTGTTTGTTTGTTTGTTTTACTGTGGGTCTATTGTAAAGAACTGAAACTTCTATAGTGGATAGTTTTCAAAATTATTTAATAACTTTGGTATGGTGCCAGTCTTTATCAGTAGGAAAGGCTGTAAAACCTTTGAAAACACAGCTTCCAAAATCTATGTACTCCTTTGTGTTTCCCAGGCCGTTTCTGGCCCCTGGGCCTTATGTTTGACACAACATGGTTTAGAGACTGATGGATTGGTGGGATTTGCCATTGGTGGAAGGGTTTTTAGAACTGTGTTTCATTTGCATTGCTATAGTAACACTCTTATTATTCTTAATGCTTTGCTTGCAGTTTCTGCAATGACATGATGTCATTTGAAAACAGTCACTATAGGATCTTCCTACATTGGGAAATCATGGCAGGAATCATCATAGTCAGAAAAAACACTTCCTAAAAATCTAAATATATACTAAAGAAAACCAAAATTCTGTATTACAATAAAACATCTAAAGACGAATGACCAACTCACACCATCAGCTGCCTGATAAAAGTTTCTATAAGAAGCCTTTCAAAAAGGAAGCAGAAAAACAAGGACCATACAGTCTTTCGTGACGATAACAGCACATGTAGTTGCTGAGGGCGCTCTCTTTTTTTGGTTCATGAAACTCCACTGAGCATCTTCCTCAACGTGCCCGCCCGAGGGATGCCAGATGTACAAGCAGAGAGCAAAAAACACACCCAGTGACTGACCTCAACCCACTAATCCTGATGTTTACAGCGATCTTCTCCATGCAAACTTGCAAATTCAAAGTTTGAGCATCACACAGGAATCCAAATCAGGTCCACGGATGCTTAACAGATGACCACGGGGTTTTGAAAGCGCTAAACCAAAGTACTAAAAGTTAAATTTGTTTGCAGGACGCAGCAAAGGATACGGTTTGTTGCTGTCTTCATATGCCCACGTTTGATAAATTATTCATCAGCCCAATCGTACGGACAGAAGCATGGTCAACATTAAAAACTGTTGAGTTATTATTTCGCTGCAGGATGAGTTTTCATCCAAGAAGTTCTACGCTTAACAACGGAGCCTGAAAGAACACAGCCTGAAAGATTAATTTTCTCTGGACTGCTGGACCAAAATATTATTCCGGCAGATTATTTACTGTTCCTGTCACAGGAAAAAGGTTTTAGGTCCACTCTATTTTGCACAAGGCACATTTGCAAAAGTAAGGCAAGGACAAACTAATCATCAATAACAAAGACTCAAACTTCCTCTCCTCTTCTAGCTATATTTCCTCAGGCTAGAAAGCATATTTTTTGAGTCAGATTTATTGTACTGAGAAAGAGCTTCTCTTTCACGGGCAGAAAGATTAAGCATGAATCACCGCAAATCACAGCCGGTGATTATTTTGTGTTTTTGAGAGAGAGAGAGACACACACAAACCACAGCACGTATCATGATTTAATGAGCCATTAGCCTCTAATGATGGAGAGATATTAATGTTATGAAAGGATGGAGATGTTTAACGCAGTCATACTTGAGTCTCTGTCTTTTCTTAAAAACACATTTTCTTCGAAATTCACTGTTGGGGTTTAACATTCATGCTCTTCTTCTTCCAATTGTGTTATTTTAATATTATTACATTTTTGTTTAATGTCTTTTACTGTTTATGTGTTTCAGATGCCTCACTTTACAATCGGTGATTAAATTTTGCATTACATTTTCTTTGTCACTGTGCAGCCTAATAGCTAATTATCCCCTAAACCCTCTGCCAAGCACAAAATATTATTTTAATACCCATTTACATAAACTTAACACACTCAAATGTTGCACAAAACAGACAATAATTAAGCAGCTATAAACTTACAGTAGCCACATCTTGTTCCTCCTTCAAACACGAATCCATTTGGTACAGGTCCATATCTACGCAGGTCTGGAAGGTTCCAGTGGCCAATAATAACAGGAGGGACATCCCGAGCAAGAGCCAACAAATTGTTGCACAAATGGAGAGTTGCAGGCCCGCTCTCCAACTTGGTCCCTGGTAAGACTCCAACACTGAATCTGTGAACTGAGAAACACACAGATCCTCAAATTTAACGCATATTCCAATAACTGTAAATGAGTTTTACAGTAAGTAGAAAGAGTGGAAAGAGTAAAGAGGAACATAAATGAGGCAAATAACCCTGAACACATTTCTTCATAAGCTGCGAAGTACCTCCTATTTTGTCACTCTCAAATACCCAAATGTCCGTTCTGGGTGAATATATTTTTGTAAGTAAATCTGAAGCATCAGCGTTCCACTTGCATTGCAGTGAAATATGTGCCATTTAGAAAGCTATGAGTAATTATGTTTGCAAGTACATTACCTAAATATAGTAGCTTGCTAACACATCGCTAACATTAGCTTCTAGCAGCTAATTAGCAAGAGGGAGCTGGAAAAAAGATCCTCTGGTATAATGAAGTGTAGGTATTTTGTAAGAGTTTTAGCCTCACTTTGGTATGAGGCTGAAAAATAAAGCTAACACAGAAACCCTGCAATACCTTAAGTGTCCATTGGGGCTGGTTCAGAAGTAATTCAATCCACACAGCAACCATGTTAAAATATTCAAGTTTAGAGTAGAACTGTTCAGAGCCAGGTAGGTTGCATAAACACTTTTTCTGTAGAGATAATTGTTTTCATAAACTGATATACCCTGAATATAGTTTTCCAATTCTATTTTCCATTGTTTAAAGTGTGGCCACTTTAAGTGACAGGCATAGATGGTATAAAACGTAGCTAATATAACATCGTCGACTGGTTTTCTAGAGTCCTGTTCTGAAGGCTAGGGATTAGCATTTTCACGATCTCTAGCTTGGTATTTAAAAAAAGCAAGCAAGCAAGTAAAGAAACAAACAAACAAACAAACAAAAAGTCTACGGGAAAATGGCTTTCTGACTTGACCTCTTTAAAAGCTTTCTGATAGGTTTATGGGCTCAGTCATTCGTTTTGTGTCATAATGAATAAAAATTT